CTGCGGGAAGCCTGCTTCTCCCTCTCCCACTCCCCCTGCTTGTGTTCCCTGTCTTGCTGTGTCTCTCTCGGTCAAATAAATAAATAAAATCTTTAATAAATAAATAAATATAAAAAATTAAATTAATTTTACCGGTCTCTCTACTTTTCTGATGAGGCTACTGGAAAGTTTTAAATTACACATGTAGCTCACATCATATTTCTACTGGACAGAGCCGTTGTAGATAATTATTATTTTTATGCACGTTGTTTACCATCTCCCTCCTGTACCAGAATGTTCCCTGCTGTATCCCCAGCACATCCCCTGGCACTCAGTAAAGGCTCATTGTCAAGTAGATGAATGGATGAACCAGGGGCCCCAGGCAGGCCAAATACCCCCACTCACCCTCTCCATTAGCATCTGCTTTGTGTTCGGACAGGGTCTCGATGGAGCCATCCCATCCCACGCCAGGTCCTGGGGGTGCACAAGGCAGCCAATGGGCCATGGGGACCACAGCAGAGGCGGGCAGGGCTTGCGGGGAGACCCAAGGGACAGGAGAAAGCCAAGGGGTTAGTGGGTCCAAGGGAGCTGGGGAGCAAATGGGAGCAGAGACCCTCATCTCTCACCTTTGCCATGGGAGGTGGGCGCGCCCAGGGGGCCCGGCCTGCGCTGTCGGAATCGCTGCCTGGGGGTGTCCCCGGGGCTGAATGACTCAGAGCTTCGCCCCACAGGGAATCGTGAGCTGAGTTTCCGCCGCTGCCCCCCTGCCAGGGTCTCATCCCGCAGGCAGAGGGAGCTCTGGGCCCGGCGCATGGGTGCCGGGGAAGGGGACCCTGCAAGAGGCATAGGCAGGGAGGGTGTGGAGCAATGCAGGAAAGGGCTGGGCAGAGTGGAGGGGCCGGTGGGGTGATACTGCAAAGGAGCAAGGAGAGGAGGCTGCAGAGGCAGGGGTAAGGTCTGGGTGAAGGAGGGTGGTGACAGGAGGCTGGCCTGGGCCGGCTCTGACACTAGCTGACTGTGTGACCTGGGGCAAGGCACGTCCCCTCCCTGGGCCTCGGCTTCCTCATCTGTCCCCCACACCCAGCAGCAGCGCCTGCGCCTCCTACAGGCTCACTGCAGTTCTCTCTCCTCCTCCAGGAAGCCTTCCCTGACATGACCCAGCCTGAGTCCACTGTGCTTCCTGGACTCCCACAGCTCCCTGCACAGTCCTGACCTCTCACTAAAGTCCCCTGCCGCTCTGAGGTCCTAGACACTGCTGTGGATGGGTAGGACGGGGTGCCGGCTGAAGGGGTTGTGGCAGGGACGCAGGGTGGGGGGGGGGGGCGGTACACGTGCAAGCCACACCAGATGAAGGGAGAGACGAGAGGCGCTGGCAAGCACCAGGGTGGGGGTAGGAGACATGGGGTAGAGACCATCCTGGTCACCCGGCCCCCAGACCCACCTGTCCCA